AATTTTAAAAATTGATACACCATGCTAGAATCCCACTTGATTTGGCAGTGGAAAAAAAAAAAAAAAGTATAAAAGCCTCATCTTAAACCAGCACCATAGAAAGAAACATCTAACCATTAGGAGAATTTTATTAGAAGTCTCTTGACTGCATTCAATCAGTTTTAGCCTAGGTTAATTTTAAAACTAACAAACAAACAAGGTGAGGGGCAAAGAGGGAGGAAGTAGGGAAAGTAAGCTAATTTCTGGAACAGAAGTTCACTATAATTGCAAAGATAGGCCTGAGGTACTTGATTGAGGTACTCTGATTATCTCACTCTGGCAATACTTGACTGTCTACAAAGGGCACTGCTCGATCAGTCCCAACTGCTTTGTGCCAGACAGCAATGTCAACATGTTTTTTCCTTGGTCTTTCCAAAATAGCAGCAAAATACAAAACCACCCTGAAAAACAACTAAGCAAACATCTGTAGCTTTGTCATTTGTCACTTTTCTTCTAAAAATCTGTGGTACCACAACTTTATGAACATATATATTTTAAACACCTCTTTGAAGAACTCCCTACCAAAATAAAGATGAGAATAAAAGTGATGCATTAATTCAATATCCTATATAATCCTGTCTAATCAATAGTTAGTTTCTCATTTTTGTGATATTTACACTTTTAAGCTGGAAAAAACAAGGATTTAAACACAAAAACTCATGAAATTTTTTTCAAGTATGATTTTTTTTTTCCCAGCAGTGAAAAACATAGATGTTGCATCTAATAGTCAGTCTGGATATAGATGATAAAGATAGATATCTAGAGATGGATATAGATGAAACAACAATCTCAGAAAAAACAGATGCGTTCATTACCCAGTATAAAAAATGGCTCATGCACTTAACAACAAAAAAACATCTCAATGTATAATTATCTTTGTTTACAAACTGAAGAACCTACTTAGCATCTGAAAATAGATGCAAGATAACTTGATAAAGGGGAGAAAGCTGGATGAAAAACTCCAGTGTCTGGAGTTAAGCATTAATTAAGAGTTCTTTCCCCTGATGTCTGTTGGGGATAGTTCCAGATTTCTGAATGTTAGAGATTACAAAGTTACCAATTAAACCAAGATTCATGTCCTACAAACCAAAGTGAACTTAGTACTTCACTTAGAAGCAAAAGAACTAGAAAACACTGTGCTTGTTAGAGAAACTAATGCATCTGTATATGTAAATTAATGATAGCTGTCTTGATTAATAACTATTTATTTATATTAACGTGGATGATAGGCAGAATTAGGGCTCTGTTGTGTCAGAAGTTGTACCAATGCACACAAGGCTTGGGAAAAAATATGTTTTCTAATGGCATTCTTTGCGGGAGAAACCACAGCTCAAATTTCAGCATATAAACCTTTGTGCATACGTATTTTATATTTATTTTTATATAGGTGCGTACAAACATACCCAGAATTTAAACATACAGTATACACAGACCAAGAATTTAAAATATTTTATAGAGACACAGAGCTTTCCCAATTCCTCATGCATTACCTCTTTGTCACTGGAAAAAGACTGGCATGTGCTGGCTTAGCACAAAGGGAACCCTGGCTGACTGATTTGTGTTTCCTCAAGAGTCAGCTCAGAGAGCTCATAAGGGCTCTTCCATCCTTTTCAAGGAATTCCTCCATATTGATGGAAGAAAAGCAGCCAATTAACTGATTTTAACTTAGCATTTATGTTTGAGTTATGTGAAGATCCTCAGAGATAATGTCTGAGACTCAGCAGTGTGTTTGACACTGCAGAAAACAACACTTGTACAGCACTGGCATCCTAAGTGACTTACTTGCAGCAGAACACACTAGGAAATTCTCATTCCTCCTTAAGTCAAATGCAGAGCAAAACCAAAATCTGGCTATATGCCTTGGTATCAACCAGAACTCCTAAAAGGACCCTAGAGAGTTTTCAGTGCCACAAAAGTGATGCTTACAGTAGTATGTTATACTTTTGCATAGAGTTTCAATGCCAAACATTTTCCTTCTGTTCCCCAGAACATAATCCACAAATCTACAGAATCTACAGAACAAATCCCCAGAGTATAATCTATTTCAGGTACAAAAAGACAGCATTCCAAAGTCACTGAGAGCCAGGCCTATACAAGAGTTATAGGATGTAATGCATAATAAAACAGAAGAAACATTTATGTCCAAATGAAGATGCTAGTTCTCCAGATTTCACATGTCACTAATGAATCCAAGTGACAGTGGTTTTGATGGTAACAATGAAGTCAAACATACAGACCTAGCTGGTACATTCAAAGAGAGGCAGACAATGATCTCTGTGGTGACCAGTGACAAAACATGAGGGAATGGCCTGAAGTCGTGTCAGGGGTTTGGGCTGGCTGTTAGAAAAAGGTTCTTCACCCAGAGGGTGGTTGGGCACTGGAATGGGCTCCCCAGGGAAGTGGTCACATCCCCAAGCCTGACAAGCAAGAAGTGTTTGGACAGTGCTCTCAGGCACATGGTGTGACTTTTGGGGTGTCTGTGCAGGGCCAGGAACTGGACTTTAATGATCCTTATGGGTCCCTTCCAACTCAGTAGATTCTGTGATTCTGTGAGAATAGTCTGCTACTGAACTTGACTGAATAATCACCATCTTCAAGAAATTAAGATAGTTTTATCTTTTCCTTGAGTCCTTCAATTCCAGATACCTGTTTCAGCCCTGGATTTTCTTCTAGCATGAGAGATACCAATATATCAGTAATTAAAAGCAAGTCTGGAACTATCATAGGAAAAATAGAAAAAAATGCTGTTAAGAGTCACCATAAAAGATTTAGAAATTGACTGTCTTGACACAATCTACCTGATTATTCTTTTCTGAAGCATTTCTAAATGTTGATAATTAGATAAATCTGTGTCAATTATTAACCAGAAATGCATCAATAAAAATATCTGGTCAGTTGCCAAACTCTTGATTCATAGTTAAGGCCTTAGCCCATATTAAGATGCTGGACAACCTTTGCTTACATGCATTGACAGGGCCATGAACTTTGATTATCCCTTAGGTGCTCTAAAAGTACATGGGATTTATACAGTACATGGAAGCCCAGTGGGCAAAGACAGTCTTATCAGCCTGAACTCCAAACCAAGAGACAACATCAAATCAGGACAGGAGGGAAGAGCCACTCTCTGGAGTGATGGCAGAAGAGCTCTGTCTGGGACGAAGTACTAACATAACTTGTGCATGAAGTCACACTTGGGTTAGATAAATATACAACTTATGATCATGACAGATTTTTGCATAATAATTCTCTTTGGCCTTGATATACCAATTGCAATAAACACATTCCTGTGGTGAAAAAAAACAACAAAAAAACCCCAAAAAAACCTGCTTCTGTTATTCTTCCCATATTGTAAGAGAAGTATTCTAGAAAATGGTATCAGCACTTGGAGAACTGAAATTCTGGACAGAAACATTATACACAGGTTGGTTTTGAACATCATAATCCCTTAATTCAAAGGAAGGTTTGAAATTCAGAAACTTTGCAGCCTGTGGAGACCCAGAAAATCTAAAGAGGTTTTAAAAAGAATTTTTCAAAGAAGGTCCCCTGTGTAAAGTACCGATTCTCAAGAGTAATACAGAAAATTTGCTACTCCATATACTCCCATCTCACAAACCAGTCTGGATTCTACACTCCCAAAGATTAGTTCTACCTACAACACACCTCACAATCCCATCAAAGTGCAAAAACATATGGGCGAAATTCAGAAGTGCCACATTCCCGTCTATAGGATCACCAGCAAGAACCAATTGCAATACAATTGGTGGATTTTCAGAAGTCCATATGTCCTCATCAAGCCCTGCATTTTGGAACCAAGGAACACAGGAAAATAAAATGGTTTTTGTGGGGAAAGAAAAAAAAAAGGTATGGTCTTATAATTGTTAGTGCACAGCTTTGATATAATCTCACAAACTTCAAGTAAAAGTAAAATACATAAAACCTAAAGGAATCTGACTTGACTCCTTGGTTCTTCTGCTGCAGAGGAAAGGTTTAGAGCTATGCTGCAAATCTCATAAGTCAAATGAAAACAACAAAAATATAATTTTTAAAGCTACTTATGATTAAGGGCCTAATTCAACTTCTCAGTTTCCTGTTTTTAGCTATCTTGATCCTGCAATACATCCGTATGCAAACAATCTTCTCTTATGGTGACTAAACTTGGAAAAGCTACAGCCCAGAGAAGTCAGAACTAATAGGTGATGGCTGTTGGGCAATGCTGTACAATCAACATAAAATTCCATGGAAACACAGCTGTCAGTTGGCACACGTGAATCAGTGCCCTGGGAGGATTTGGAAATACTTTCTGTTCCAAAGGTTTAACGGTTGTCAATCTTCCTTTAAAAAAAATTATAAACTGATAACAATCTGTGCCTTATGATATTAAAAATATGCGTGCTCTGTGGCAAAAAGGCATACAAAAAGCCGGGAAAGTAGCGTAACTTAAAGCCTGCAAGGAGTGCTGTTATGGCTAAACTCCACGCAAAAAGCAAGTTTTTACTCATAGTTTAGAGTAATTAAAAACCTGTAGCGAAACTAGCACGGCTACTAGTAACCTGAGCCTGACAATCACGACAAAGGTGTCCTTTGAAAGATACTGTTTCCTAATCGGAGCTGTGACCTTGCTGCACTTACTGTATAAGCGGCGAGTGACTGTACCGGGCTTACCACAGCCTTTATGTTACCACACCGACACCGCACATTGATTCGGCGTCACGCCGAAGACAAGCAATTACTTACACCCTGGAAATCCCGGCTCGGCCTCGCCCGAGCCAGCAGTGCGGGGCACTGACCCACCCTCAGCCCGTGCCCGCAGCCACAGCCCGAGCCGGTTGCTCCCCGTCCCGGCCGGGGCTGGCCACGGCCGCCGGGACCTGCCGCCGCCGCCCCCGCTCCTCACCCT